TATGTGTGTGTGTGTGTGTAAATTCAAAATATTACATATATGAATCTTTTATAAAATATTGTAGCCTATATATTAAAGTCTTTTATAAATGTATTATATTTTGTGTGTATATATAAAACATAATTTATAAAACATAAGATTTTAATAAAACATTTTAATATTTATTAGCTTTTATCCAGTAATCATGAATCTTGTTTGGTAGTCTGTTATAATTTAAAAAACAACAACAAAAATCATTTTAATGCTATATTTTTTAGTTAAGTAGTTTAGTAAACACAAGTGACTCTGGCAAACAATAGCTTGTTTTGTAAAGGTTGAGCTTGTGAACCTGATCCAGCCCTTATATTAAACAGACCTGAGCACGCCAAACCTGCCAAAACTGATCATTCAGTGCCCTTCAGTCCGACAGTCTGTTCAGAGAAGTCACTGTCTGAGATGCTGTTGTGAAGTCACAGCTCATCCTGAGCTCAAGCGTCAATCTTTATGATGCCATGATAGTTAAACAGGCCATATACAAGCTTTACAATGCCATAATGGATAAAGAAGTCTTCATTCTTGACCGTTAGAGCATGACTTCTCAGCATTGTTTCAACATTCAGATGTCTCAATGCTCTTCTTCCTGTGTACCTTTAAGCAACAGGAAAGAGACGTGTTTTTAAGATCTAGTTTCTTCTTTTAGTTTATTCTGTAGTCTCTCAAGATCTGTGGTGTTTGTATCAGTCGATCATGGGTATTTTTTCTTCCTGCTCAGTGCTCACCCAGCACACGTCAGTAGGAGAATGCTGGAGATAAGACATTTCTCTGGAGGTTTAGTTACTGGGTAATAAGCCTGTTGGTCAACATTTAAACTAGGAAGAATCCAATATTCATAAACACATGCATGTTCTCCCTGTTTTAGAATAGCTGATGTCATTTTAGCATTTAATAGTCATTTTGAAATTGTTTCCTGAAAGATATGTGACTCAGTTTTACACACACCTAGCTACTGTAATGAGGACATCACAACACTTTTATTGTTTATACTGTATATAAAGCTAGTTTTAATTACTCACCCACTCATTAACCCTTACATTGAGGAAACATTTTCACATTAAGGCAAGGCACCCCAGGCGGATAGACTAAATAAATATATAAATAACTAACCAAAAAAATCATAATATCCAGAAGTTTTCACCATACTTCCAAAGTTGATTGATCACATTAAGAATCGCAAACATTGTTTGTATAACAAGTTTTAAATATGCATGTTTGCATGTTTATGCATGTAAAAATGTGTTTAAATATGAAAATAATGTAATATCTAATTAAATGTGCACATATTAGCATAAAATTCCAGAACAGAAATATGAATACTGGATCAAAACAATAAAACCAGTCTTTCAAAAAATGTTTTTACATTTTTTAAATGTTTATTTTGGTTTATTTCTCCTTTTATCGATACATAAATCAGTAAATACAACAAGTCAACAAGCAAAAAAAAAAAAGAAAGTGAGGAGAAAAGTGGAGGAGAAAAAACTTGCGGCCTTTAAAGACATGTATTTCATCTGAAATCTACAGATGCAAATATATAAAGTGCAATAAAATAAACACTTTAAAGTGTTTAGTGCATGTTTTCTTTCAACTAGTCTGAAACAAGACATTATAAAAAGTAACATAGACCAAAATCTCAAAATTAACAGTGCATGAATTTTTTTATTTATTTATTAAACAATTTTAAAATTACACCCCAAAAGTCCACAAAGGGAGGATTTGTCAGGTTTCCCCCAAATTGTACTTCTAGGCTTCTGTTGTTTTATATTAAAGTTGGCGTGAAATGAATATCTGTTATCTAAATGCATGTTATTGATCTTATTCTGAACGATTCATCTATGAATAGGTTCCATTTTTTAAATGCATTCATTTTTTATCCTCATATTTTTTCAAAATGAATTCCTTAACTAAATCTTTTGCAGACCTCTCTCTGATGACATATGCAGGATTCCTCCAATCATTTTGTTCACTTAAACCCCGCCCCTTTCTTACAATCAACTGCAAGGTTGCATACAGTTTTGGAGTGCCACGCCCACATCTCAATATCCAATTAACAACCGACAGATAGAAGCAAGTCTCCGCCTTGCATTTTTTCTTAATCCATTTGAAACGGATGTATGTTACAATGTGGAAAAAAGGTCTAGTGCTACTTCTGTTTCATCACAACTTTAAGTTTAACTTTAATTCTAATAATGACAGAATAACCCACACCCTAAAAGAAAACTGAACAGAGCATTACTTCATTTATGAATCATTTTGACATTGATAACACCTCCAAAGGGGGGTTGTCAGGTTTCGCTCACATCTCGAGGCACTTTCATCATCAAACTATAGCTCATACACGATGAGGTTCAGCTTTCAGCGACATAACTTTCAGTTTTTTGCAGATTAGCTCAGGTTTTCTGTTGTTTACTATTGAATTCTACAGTATTATTGTAATATTGTGTTCATTGCTGTCTATTCTGTGTGTGTGATCTCTGATCAGGGTGTGTGTGTGTGTGTGTGTGTGTGGTTTACTGTAAACCCCTGTAATGCTTCACACAATGAACTCCACATAAAACCACATATAAAATCCGCAGCCTTTCTTTTACGAGATGCTGTAAATGTCTCTGACAGAGAACATGTTCTGTGTCCTGAAGGCAAATAACCATTTGTGTGTGTGCTGAGTGTAACATGATACTGAATTGTACATAAAGAGGTTGAGAAACAGGTTGGTCTGACATGATTGTTTTCTTTCTTTAAAGGGGTGGTTCACTGTTTTTTTTCTCTCTGACAGAGAACATGTTCTGTGTCCTGAAGGCAAATAACCATTTGTGTGTGTGCTGAGTGTAACATGATACTGAATTGTACATAAAGAGATTGAGAAACAGGTTGGTCTGACATGATTGTTTTCTTTAAAGGGGTGGTTCACTGTTTTTTTTCTAGGCTTGATTTTGATTTTGAAACTTGTGAATCCATTAGAATCGTTAGAAGACAGAATCGCAATTCATATATGAATAGATTTTTACGTGCACCTCTAGTTTTCTCTTGCTCTTCTCTAAAACAGCGCAGCATGGCCTCGCCCCCTTTGCTGCCTTTTCCCGAGGGCGGGGTTTATCTGGGTTTGTGATGTCACGAACCCGGGAAGTAACTCGTTGTAGTCCCTACGAGCCGTTTTTGTAGGCATTAAATTGCCAGAATTTTAAAAGACGATATCTCCGTTTGCATTGATCTTTCCGCTTCGTAACTTTGCAGATATTGTTTATGCTCAAACAGCAACATTACACACTAACTAAAGTAAAAAAAAGTGAAATCGCAATCAACCACCCCTTTAAGCATACAGTATCATTCAAAAGTTTGGGGGCAGTAAGATTTTTTGATGAAAGGTTGCATTAAATTAATCAAAAGTGACAGTAAAGACATTTCTAATGTTAAAAAGATTTCTATTTCAAATAAATGCTGTTTGTTTGAAAAGAATCCTGAAAAATGAAATGTTTCTTGAGCAGCAAATCAGCATATTAGAATGATTTCTGAAGGATCATGTGACACTGAAGACTGGAGTAATGATGCTGAAAATTCAGCTTTACATCACAGGAATAATTTATATTTTATGTTATATTTAAATAGAAACCAGTTATTTTAAATTGTAATACTATTTCACAATATTACTGTATTTTTTATCAAATAAAAACAGCTTTGGTGAGCAAAATTCTTTCAAAAATCTCATCAACCCCAAACCTTTGTATGGCAGTGTATAGAAAAGTTGAGAAAACTTAAAACATTCTATGAATAAATCAGTTTATTAATATTTGACTTTCTATTGCAAGTTGTTGTGGTTTATTAATAATTGATGAGGTGTTTGTGGTTGATTTTGTGCTTTATATCCTGGTGTTGTACTCACGTCTGTGGGCTCATGAGTCACACAGAGCTTTAAAGAAAAATGTTCCTGCTTTTTTTGTTGTGACTTCCTCCATTCATATTAATTTACAGAATCATTCGTACCTGTGGACTTAAGTTTACGAAGCAAGTTAATTTTTTACACACTTACAGAGTAACTCATCTAAGTAATTACAAGAAAGATGAAGGTTTAGGATCAAAGATTAAAACTTGTCTACAGATCCTCAGACAGATCAGATGTTGCCTTTCTGGCTCATGTCAATAACTTGAATATGATTTATGTTTAGATGTGTGAACATCCAAATATTAATCTCACATACAGTTTTCCACAGACTTACATTGGAGAAGCCATAGCAGTTAGATTAACACAAATAATTCATGGCGATCAATCTAATTATTTTTTTTTATCAGCTTTAATAAAGCCATTACATCTAAAACTAATAATAATTTGCGCCTTAATGTTAGTACCATTAACTATGAGTTTGGCTTATGGTGATATTTTATACTTGATGAGCTTTGATGAGAATTTAGTTTTTTATTCAAAGACTTTACGTTTGTTAAGTCCCATATGCATATGAGTATCATCTGTAAGTTACTATGTTTGGTTTTCAACATTGAATGTGTAAAATTCAACTATTTGCACATGGCGCTGCATTGAGACCCCTATATCTCTTGGAATGAACCATATAGGGCCTTAAAAATTAAGATGTCAAAAGAAAAAAATCTTAAGAACCAGAATCTAAAATCACATTGAGATATCTTCAACACTTCTTTAGTTACAGGAACTTTGGGGGAATTTTTTTTTATTTTTGGCACTCAGTACGTTCCATGTAATTGTTTTGATCGAGAAAAACAGTATATTTTTAACCTTAAAAAAAAACATATAAAGGTCAATAATTAAAAAATGATAATTTTCAATTAAAAATGATGTCGAAATAAAACTTTAAGAACCAGAATCAAAAAGGACATTGAGATATGTGTAGTACTTCTTGAATTGCAGGAATGAAAAAAGTTACCAAATAAGTTTGTGAAGAACCAGAATCTAAAAGGACACTGAGATATATTTAACACTTCTTGGATGCAAACATGCAAACTTTGGAGAAAAAACATGGAAGGTGCTTTTCCCCATTTTTAAACAGTCACATTTGGCATATAATGCAACAAAGATTGCTAAAGTTAACCGATTTTACTAAGAGACCTATAACAATCTCTGTTAAAATAACATAATTCTGCTACCATCTTTCTAAAGTAATTTTCACCCTCCTGCAATTTGGCTCCAAATCTCAGGTGAAAATTGTCATTTTGACCCCCCTCTACAAAACTGTGGATTAATCAGTAAATATTCATCCGTGAAATTTATTTTTGACTTTCTTCTTCATTCATGTGTTGGTTTTACTTTATATCAGGGACTTGAGTTGAGCTGAGAGACAGAATTAAATTTAAATGCATTTTAAAAAGCATCTCTAGTAATTAATCATAGGCGTACATGTGAACGATCCCAGTCTTGCTCAATAAATGATCACATCCAGGAACATCCTGAAGATCCGGTCACACGACGCACCCGTCCTGATCAGCAGCTTCATTAGAGGAAGTGCACAGAAACACTCATGATCACTGACCGATAGGGCTGGGTATCGAGTTCGATACTTTTTAGGCACCGACCGATGTGACCATTCATGCAAACTGTAGCATCATGCTACATAAGACAATAAATAAGATTTATATTCCGCTTTTACTTAAAACTCATTTTAAACCACCATCGAGTGTTTGTAATAACTTCCGAGTATCGTTCAGGAACCGGTATCGAAGTCAAGGTATCGATAATATTTGAACGATACCCAGCCCTACTGACCGACTTTGTGTCTGCTGTTTGACTCCATCTTTGAATTCAAATGATATCAAATCATCCCATTTTTATTCCATCTGTCTCTCTTTCCTCTCCTGTTTAAAGGGTAGAAAAGCTTCAGTGTTAGTATTTGATGCTTTCATACCTGTGTGTGGCATTAAACCAACATGAAACACTGCAGTTGCCAGGCAACAAACCCTCACGGACGACTGACACACAGTCACATGATGTGATAAACCCCTTGTCTATTTTATTTGACTCATACTTAGTGAGACCTGTTTTTCATCTTTGAAAAACAGCTTACAAATGATTTTAGTATGAAATATAATATATGAAATATATAAATACAGTATACTAATATATTAAACGACACACGCTGACCACTGATCTAAACTGAGCTTGTTTTTCAGGTGAACCAGCTCAATTTGACCCCACATTCACCGGCCCCATTCACAACAGGTGTGTATGTGTCAGTCTCACGAATGCATGTCCACAAAATTAAAAGAATTGATTTTAAAAAGTTTTTTTTTTGCATTGTGACATTAGTCAGGGACTGGGGCTGCAAATTAGCCATTGGCTAGAAGCCTGTATGTAGAGCATCTGCAATGTCCTTCTGCATTGTCCCCGTTAAATAAACAACTAAATAAAAGTTCCATGACAGCACTACAGTAATGCATGCATTTTTTCCAGTATAAACTAGGTAAATACTATTATGGAGTAAAGGAATAGTTGAAGGAACAGTTCACCCAAAAGTGAAAATTGGCTGAAAATGTACTCGTCCTCAGGCCATCCAAGATGTAGATGAGTTTGTTTATTCATCAGATGTGGAGAAATGTAACATTACATGACTTGCTCACCAATGGATCCTCTGCAGTGAATGGGTGCCGTCAGAATGAGAGTCCAAACAGCTGATAAAAACATCACAATAATCCACAAGTTATCCACACCACTCCAGTCCATCAGTTAACGTCTTGTGACGTGAAATGTTTTGAGTTTGTAAGAAATAAATCCATCCTTTATGGAAATCCAGCTAAAATACAAGTCCTCTATCCCTAATATTGCTTCCTCCAGTGAAAATGTTGTCTAGTCTGAATCAGGAGAGAAATACTGTATGCACAGATCAACTGGAGTGACGTGGATTACTTGTGGATTTTTGTGACATTTTTATCAGCTGTTTGGACTCTCATTCTGACGGCACCCATTCACTGCAGAGTAAATGTCAACATCTCTACATCTACATCTCTCATCTTGGATGGCCTGAGAGAGTACATTTTCAGCAAATGTAATTTTTTGGGTGAACTATTCCTTCAATGCTTCATGCATAAAAATGTCTTTCTTTTGAATTTGTGGTGAAATATGATCTTGAGCAGTTCTGTAAGGTGTGTGCTTGTGTGTCTGTAGGAGCTGTACGGACATCATATGCTGCGTTCTGTTCATGGTGGTCATTGCCGGTTACATGGTGGTAGGAATTCTGGGTAAGTTCTTGTTCATTTCTCTATTTCTGTGTCTATCTGTCTGTCTTCCTGTCTCAGTCTGTGTCTCATCACTGTTCAGCGCTCAGACGCACACATACTGTGAACTCTGTGTGTATTGGTGCAGTGTTTACTTTGAACTGAAAGCAATATGGAAATTGAACTCGGTCTGCCTCCCTTAATGTGCAATAAGTAAATACTGGAGAGGGCAAGGGGTTATGGGTAACACAATGTGATTGTTTCTGCTGAAAGTAGAAATGCACACAGACACAAGTTTATTTAGCTGTTTATGTGAAGTCCAAATATGTTTTGATATAAAACTAATTATAACTGCCATACACTAACAAAAACCCTAAAAGAAAACTTTAGAAATGTACCCTTTTGATGAGTAATTTTAATTTTAATTTAATTTTATTTCTCAACTCAATTGCTCTTTCAAAACCATAACAATTCCATTCAGAATTTAGGAATTTAATTTTAATTTTTAAATTAAATTTCAAATACTGATTTTACAGTTGCAAACAAAATGTGGAACTGCATTTGAATTTTATTGTAAGGAAGTGACCTTTTGTAGCCCAAGGTGAAAGAACACTTCATTTTCATTTTCATGCGTTACCTGTGTTTGTTTTCTTGGAATTGCAATTCAACTTTGTGTGTGTCGTGGCCAATTCAATTTCAATTCCAACTCATTAAATGAAAGGGAGCCAAAATTCAGTTAAAAATATAAAATATAAACAAAAGACAGTTGCACAAATATTATTTTATTTAATTATTATATTATATTATATTTAGAGTTTAGAATTTACAGGATTATATTTACGGTTTAGAATGTTGCACTAGATAAAATATAAACAAGACAGGTGCACAAATATTATATTGTTACATTGTTTATATTATATTATATCATAAAAATGTTGCGTTATATTAAAATGCTACTTGCTTTGATTATCTTTTGATGATCTGGACATTGTTAATGTGACTTTATTAAAAGTTTTGTCATGTCTTTTTCATCACATATGTGACAGTTTATAGTTTATCATCTAAAACATCAATATTTAGTCATGACATCTGTGATTATGTGGTAGATCTCATTAAACTCTCTCTGAGATGATAATGAAGAGCAAACGAAACACTAATTGGAGTCTAAGGACTTTTCCATAGAACTAATTACAGTCCACAGTTACAATTTCTAAAGCATTACAGTGAAAATAAACCATGTTTAAGGTGTGTTATTATGGACTGCATGAAGCAAAGTGTCTAAAAAAAAAACTTGTAAACACAGTAAAAGACTGTATTACACAGCCTCGAGTCAAGTCACATTTATTTCTATGGCGTTTTATAGAACACAGATTGTTTCAAAACAGATTCACATCAATAAACAGGAAAATAGTGTAAATATTACAAAGTTACTAATTCAATTTCAGCTATAATGCAAGCTCTACAGAAGACAATAATGTCATTATTCAGCTCAGACTATGAAACTAATTCAATTTCTCACGTTCTGTTTTCATTTAATAGTGCAGAATAAGTGTCTCTTTGGCTGATTAACATAGCTGATGTGTGTATTTCATGTGAAATGGTTTTGGTTCCTGCAGCCTGGCTGTACGGAGACCCTCGACATGTGTTGTATCCCAGAAACTCCACGGGAATGTTCTGCGGAATCGGACAGAACAAGTGAGATTCGCCGTCAGTCGTTTTAGAGAAGTCAGTCATCAGCGTGTTTGCAGTCATTTGATGCTCATGTCCGTCTGTCTCTCAGGGACAAACCCAACGTCATGTACTTTGACATCATCAAATGTGCCACAGCGACAAACATCATGGCTGCAGCTCTGCAGGGTCTCCAGTGTCCCACCACACAGGTACCAGATCTTTTTATAGCAGCTCCATTTACAATGCTAACAAGATTTTTACCCCAAAATAGTACAACATAAATAGCAATTTTCTGTGCTTTTTTTGACCCTCTGGTTTGAACACTACATTTATTTGGGGCATGTTTCCTTTAAGTCTATGTAAACGCCCACTGCTATGATTGGGTAAGTTTTTGCATATGAAATGAGCATTATACATGTAAAACTGTTAAAGGTGCACTAAGCGATTTTTGCCAAGCGATGTTGATATTTGAAAGCACCAAAACAAACACGCCCATACGCCGACAGGACCTCGCCCCTATTTTGATATCTCTGCCCCACACATACGTACACAACCCTGGCAACGACGATCGCGGAAACAAGTGAAGATGACACACAAGCACATTCAAACAAAAGCCAACACGGATAAGTTGTGTGAAACGAAGCAAAATCAACGTTACTCACCTATCAAGAAGAAACAATGCAACTTCGCCGTCCGATTCGAGCCCTTCCCGCTCCTTGAGTTCTCTCCACCTCTGGAAAGCTGCTCCGATATTTTCGCGGGTCCTACCTCTTGCCTGATCGTAACCCTTCTTTTTAATGTTTTCTCTGATATTTTCCTCTTTTTTTTTTATCTGCCATCTCTCTCTGTCTATAGTCGATCTGCTAATATCCGTCCTCTCTTCTCTCTGTCATTGCAAGACACGCCCCTTACTGCTGATTGGCTACAAGTGTGTTTTGGGACTCGGTCCAACACTGTGGTCAAAAGCGTTTTTTCAAAAAATCGCTTAGTGCACCTTTAAAATATGATTAAGATTATAGTTGCTGTCATTTGTAGAAAATGTGGATTACAACATTGTTTATATCTACTAAAACCATTGAACTATGCATACAACTGAAACCATTAAAAAGATTTGCGTTGCTTTAAATAAAGTATAAACATCAACTGAAATAATATATTTCTCATTTACATTTAGTAACTTGTGTACTAAAATAACTAAAACTGAAATTAAGAATTAATAATCTCTCTCTCTCTCTCTCCCATTCTCTCTCTCTCTTTTACAGTATTTATATAAAAAACGAATAAAAAACTTTCCCCTCTCTCTCTCTCTCTCTCTCTCTCTCTCTCTCTCTCTCTCTCTCTCTATCAGTCAGCTATGGACATTGTAAATAAAGAGTTGTGTCCTTTATTCTACATGCCGACAACCTCTGGTGAGTGACAGAAGATGAAGAATACAGTCATTGAACACCATGTGATTTACCCATCTTTATAATATCCTCACATATCTGTCTGTCTGTTTAGTGTTGGGACGGTGTTTGCCCAGTTTGGGAGGAAATGCCTATAATCCCAGTAACTTTCCCACAAACTTCACTCTTCATGGATTGGATGTAAATGAGACTTTGGCAGCGATCAGGAATG